TTCTCCACACTTGATTGCATGTTGTTGAATCAGTTCATAAGTACTACAGTGACCTTCATCCTACAAGAGGAGAGAGAGAGGAAGGGAAAGAGACAGGGAAAGGAAGAGAAAGAGATGGAAGAAAGTATAAAGTTTGAGGGCCCCATTGCAATTAGACAGAGTGACAAAGGGAAAGATAATAATTATTGATTCCAATACATTAATAAAACGTACAATTGATTTTTGTTTCCTGTCACATGATAAAAGATAGACCACACTTTTTTTATCCTAGCAGCTGTAATGACTTACTGGTACAAAAACCAGCATCACCTGGAACAACACACAAACAAGCATCATTAAATTATTTACCGATTACCATATAGCGAAAAATTTTTGTGGATTTCGCGTTTTTTTCAAAACCCATGAAAATAAAATCCGCAAAAATCGATTCTATACGGTTTAAGATGGCCGAATTGTAGAAAACCACGAAAATTAAAGCCACGAAATTGATTTTTGGATGGATCCACGAAAATTTTGGGCCACGAAAATTTTCTACTATACGGTATACTGAATTAAAATAATAATTATACACACATTAACTGAATGATTGTGTTTATTATTAGGAGAAAAGACTGGAAAGGTGGAGTGGGGCAGTTACAAAGTACACCTCACTAAACCATCAACAGGTCAATGTCAGGAAGTGATCAGTCAATTAACGGACAGTCATCAAGACATTAACCTCTATCACTCATCACCTGATATTGTATACCTACTGATGTCACTAGCACTAGACTTAACAATAACGAGGATTAGAATATACTACACTAAAATAACAAAAGATGTCATCCTCTTACTGTCACACAAAATAACAAACAACACTTCATTAAAGACACTATCAATCAGTAATTATTCCATCAATGATGATGGAGTCATTGCACTAACACAATCATTAATTAATAATAAAACAATTGCTTACTTATTTCTTCGTGACAATCCTGACATCACTTCAACAAGTGCTCAGTCACTAGCTGAACTTTTACTCTACAACCACACACTATCTTTCCTTTGGCTTGAACGTACTAACATTGATACTGATGGAGTACTGGTACTGATGGAATCTCTCTGTACCAATAATACACTAGGGAGACTATATCTAGACAATAAACATAAACAAACTTGTTATTCTTTACCTTATTATAAAACTATTGAAAACAGATTAGGCTTTGTAGTGTAATTATTTTATATGCATGTGTACATTATTAGTTTATTAATAAATAATAACTGTTAAATGGTAAAAAAAGAAGAGAGAGGGAAGGTTGGCCTGGAGAGGGAGCCAGAGACAGTGAAGGACGAAGAGAGAAGGCCGGAAGGAGAGAGGAAGGGAAGGAGTGAGAGAGGGGGAGAAAGAAAAGGAGAGAGGAGGACAGAGTGAGGGAATAAAAGGATGGAGGGGGGACATTATTATGATATGGGTACTCCTCTTAGCAAACATCAACCACAAATACATTACCTAGCTGGTAAAGTCATTTCTTTCCCTGATATTCCATTAAATATCACACTGAGACTTTTGTCTTTACTATCCTAGTTCTTGTACTAGTTTCTTTGTCCTCCAGGTCTGATAATAAATTTGAAGGATAATGATACAGAATTGATCAGACCTATTAAAGGTGCCTTCCATCAGAGGAGGTACTATATACTGGCCGGTATAAGT